GAGTCTATTGAGCTGTTGTCATACAGTTCGAGAGCCATCTATATTTGAGTATCATCAGCATAGCTGTGGTAGTTAATGTTGTTGTTCTGTAAAATTTGGCCCAGAGGTAGCATATAGAGATTAAACAGAATCGGTCCGAGAACTGATCCCTGTGGAACTCCGCATGTCATAGCCACCCTATCAGATTCATGATTACCAATGGTGACAAAGTAACTCCGGCCATCTAGATAAGATCTGAACCAATCAAGGACTGTCCCGGAGAGTCCTACCCACTTTTCCAGCCTATCTATAAGTGTTCCATGATCGACAGTGTCAAATGCTGCACTGAGATCTAATAGAACCAGAACTGTTACTTTATCAGAATCAGTATTCAGCCATATATCATTTAAAACTTTAATCAGGGCCGTTTCAGTACTGTGGTGAGGTCGGAAACCTGACTGAAATTTGTCTAAAAGACCGCATGAGGTCACAAAATTGCTGAGTTGATTGAAGACAACCTTCTCAATGATCTTGGCTATAAAAGGGAGATTTGATACAGGTCTATAGTTGTTCATTATAGATGCATCCAGTGTTCTCTTTTTTAATAGGGGCTTAATGGCAGCTGTTTTTAGAGACGTTGGGAAAATGCCTGATTGCAGAGAGCTATTAACTATAAGTCCATTGTTATAGAGGTAAAAATTGTTTTTAAAAAGTCTGATGGCAGTGTGTCGAGACAGCAAGTGGAAGCTTTAAGATGTCGAACTGTTTCTTCTAGGGATTTTTGATCAATTGTATTAAAATGCGACATAATAACCAAGTTATGTCTTGGTGGTCGTGGTGACGGTACAGAGTCCTTTTTAGACTGAGCAGTTTTGATGGTCCGTCTTATACTTATCATTTTTTCACTAAAGAAACACGCAAATTCATTACATTTCACAGTGGACATGAGTTCTGATGGTATCTGCTTTATTGGGTTTGTAAGCTTGTCGACCATGACAAATAGAGAATTTTGAAACCTAAGGTGAAACATGATGTATAAATATTTTTGTGAATTTAACACTGACTGTATTCTCCTATCCTGCAACATAAGAGTCCCTTACCTTGGCGAGCTCGGAGCAGGTCTTGTAGAGGACAGAGTGGTCTGGGTTGTCCATGCTCTCCCTCAATGTGATCAGTCTCTCCACCGAGTCGTCTTTATAGTCCAGAGAGAAGCCTAGTGCCAGGGGAGGGAGACAATGAGACCAGCTGCAGCTGAGCTCCACACACTGCAATCTCACTCCAAGCAGGATGCCACACACAGAGGTGTGCATCCCAAATGGCACCCTATTCACTATATAGTGCACTCCTTTTGACCAGAGCCTTATGGGCCATTGACGGGGCTGTAGTGGAACAGGTTGAGAGCTTCAAGTTCCTTGGTGTCCACATCACCAACAAACTAACATGGTCCAAACACACCAAGACAGTCGTGAAGAGGGTACGACAAAGCCTATTCCCCCTAAGGAGACTGAAAAGATTTGGCATGGGTCCTCAGATCCTCATAAGGTTCTACAGCTGCACCATCGAGAGCATCTTGACTGGTTACATCACCGCCTGGTATGGCAACTGCTCGGCCTCCGACCGCAAGGCACTACAGAGGGTAGTGCGTACGGCCCAGTACATCACTGGGGCCAAGCTTCCTGCCATCCAGGACCTCTATACCAGGCGGTGTCAGAGGAAGGCCCTAAAAATGGTCAAAGACTCCAGCCACCCTAGTCATAGACTGTTCTCTTTGCTACCGCACGGCAAGTCTAGGTCCAAAAGGCTTCTTAACAGCTTCTACCCCCAAGCCATAAGACTCCTGAACAGCTAATCAAATGGCTACCCGGACTATTTGCATTGTCCACTCCCTCTTTTACGCTGCTACTCTCTGTTTAATATATATGCATAGTCACTTTAACTCTACCTACATCTACATATTACCTCAATTACCTTGACTAACCTGTGCCCCCCCACATTGACTCTGCACCGGTACCCCCTGTATATAGCCTCGCTACTGTTATTTTACTGCTGCTCTTTAATTATGTTATTTAAATGTTTTACTTATCTATTTTTTACTTAACACTTATTTTTCTTTAAAACTGCATTCTTGGTTAAGGGCTTGTAAGTAAGCATTTCACTGTAAGGTCTACACCTGTTGTATTCTGCGCATTAGATTAGATTTGATTTGTCAAATGTCGTGCACTATATAGGGAATAGGGTGCCATTTGGAACACAGCCAGAGTTTCTCGTATTAAAGGGGCCCAGAAATGGGCTGTGATGTTCCCTGGGGGAGTTAAGCTGGTCCCTGGGGGAGTTAAGCTGGTCCCTGGGGGAGTTAAGCTGGTCCCTGGGGGAGTTAAGCTGGTCCCTGGGGGAGTTAAGCTGGTCCCTGGGAGAGTTAAGCTGGTCCCTGGGAGAGTTAAGCTGGTCCCTGGGAGAGTTAAGCTGGTCCCTGGGAGAGTTAAGCTGGTCCCTGGGAGAGTTAAGCTGGTCCCTGGGGGAGTTAAGCTGGTCCCTGGGGGAGTTAAGCTGGTCCCTGGGGAGTTAAGCTGGTCAGCAGAGAATATGAAACTATACAAGACAAGGCGTATTGAATCAGAGACAGAGTGTGTGTGTGTGTTACCTTCGTAGCGTAGCTGGATGTAGAGCAGGGTGTAGATGCAGTCGATGGCTGCCCTGCGGACCAGGGGGTTGGGGTCGGTGCATCGGGGGGCCAGGCGGCCCAGGAGAGAACCCAGGTTGTGGAAGGTTACCATGTTCTACAGACAGAAAACCCAGATTAAGGCTAAGGGTTGGTTTGACTTTTAAAGGGATACTTCAGGATATTGGCAATGAGGCCCTGTATCTACTTCCCCAGAGCCAGATGAACTTGTGGATACCATTTTTATGACTGTGTCCAGTATTAAGAAAATTAGAGGTCGATTCGCGAGCCAATGCTAACTAGCGTTGGTGCAATGACTGGAAGTCTATTGGTATTTACAAGGATGCTAGCAGATACCCATAGACTTCCAGTTCAGTTCATCTGAGAAAGTAGATAAAGGGCCTCATTGCCAAAATCTTGAAGTATCCCTTTAACAATAAAGAAGCACTTATATCAACTTCTACTGTTCTCCAGGAGTTCTGGATGATTTATTTAAATGTCCTTCAGTATCTGTGGTCCTGTTGCTGCAAGCCCCATGTTCCTACCAAATGAGCCTTTAGAACCACTACAAACATTGGTCAGCTCACAAGAGACACTACTGAATTTTATGGCATCGCAAATGTTTTGAAAAACACGGCAATATTTGCTGTTAGTTTATGTCTATAAAACTCAAGGTCTTTAGCTAGTAAGGTCCAAATATTACCTGGGAAAGAACGGTTTGCAGTTGTTTTTCTGACTCACTTTGACGTTGAGGCTGGTGAAGTAGAACTGTAGGATGTGAGCTGTGGTCTTCATCGCCCTCTCCCTCTCATGGTCCTGACCAGAACTCAACCACGCCTCAATGTGCTGCGGACAACCAAAGGCAGGGTCAAGGTTGGGCTAAAGATCATTGTATAAATAGGTAAACATTTAAGCGTATACTTCTTATCACCAACTTACCTTGAATACACTCTGTAGTCCGTCTGGACTCAGGTCTCTTGCAAGAATATTCCTCAACAACTCCTGAAGCGCATTGAAGGTGTCTTTGTATAACGCCTGTGGGAAAAGGAGTAGATACAAGCTTTACCATCTCCACTTTCAGGGTATCTGCTGGTTCCATTAAGTTGTATTTAAGACTGTTCCCAAGTATTCCCACGCATAATAAAGAGACACGTGATCGTAAACAAGGTTTGAAATGATTGTTTTAGTCAAACATTATATCTGTTTGGGTTTCTTGTGGTCAATTTGTAGTCTACAAATTATTTGTAATTATGTTCCCGCCACCCCGACTAGCCACCCACGAAACAGAATCGGCCCGCGGCTGAATCTAGTTGATGATCCCTGGGCTAGGCTATAGATGGCTGAAGTATGGGGATGCCCATCTGCACTTGTTTAGGCTGCCGCAATGGGCTAATCATTAGCTAGATCACAAACTAAGTGTCCAGAATTTTGGCTTCGATGATACTCAATAACATAACGATACCACTGTGAAAAAAAATGCCTTAAAGTCAAATATACATGTCACGCCCTGGCTCTGGGGACTCTAGTATGTTGAGCCAGGGTGTGAGTTTTCATGTGTTTTCCATTCTAGTGTAGTATTTATATGTTGGCCAGTGTGGTTCTCAATCAGAGGCAACGTGTATCAGCTGTTGCTTGTTGTCTCTGATTGGGAACCATACTTAAGCAGCCAGTTTCCCCACAGTGTTTGTGGGATCTTGTTCCAAGTAGGTTGTGTTTGATCCAAGGACGTCACGTTATCGTTTTTGTTCGTGTGATCTTTATTTAATAAATATGTTCGCAAATAACGCTGCGCATTGGTCCTCTGTTCCCGACGATCGTGACAATACAGCACAGTAACTTTATAAAACATGTGGTCAACTCTCCATCTAGAGAGCTAGGCCACTGGCTGTGCAGCCTTCTGATTCAGCACTGCTCACACCCAGTAAGTCTCCTGGAGGTATTAATAATGAATAATTATTATTATTATGCGATAACATTAGAATATTAGCTTACAACCAAAAATGGCTATACTTCGAAGCAAGATAGCTAAGCGGGATGACTCTAGACTGACTTTTTCCAGTGCTAAGACAGACATTATTATAGACATTTCATCTAACATGTTCAGGGAATGCATGATAGTTATTCTGATGTGCAATGTCAAAATAGGATCCAGAATAATCAGATATTTATTTTAGGGATGAATTTGCCTGCATGTTTTTTTGTACATATTGGCCTAGGATATTTTCTACATAATGATACAAATAAATACATATGTTGTATTGTCACATACACCAGATGGGTGCAGTGAAATGTGTTGGTTTTAAAGGGTCAGCCATAGTCGTACGGCACCCCTGGAGCGAATTAGGGTTATGTGCCTTTTCACCTTGTCGAGTCGGGTATTTGAACCAGCAACCTTTCGGTTACAGACCCAACGCTCTAACCACTAGGCTACCTGCTGCCCGAGGAAGTGGGAACTCAAAACACATTAGCTAGATTGCTAAATCTAAATATGATATCGTCGCTAGATAGCCATGCAAATGATCTAACATTAAATGTAATATCCTACAAAAACATTCCATTGTTTTCACCGCAAATGGCATGCTCCACTCCGTTCCGCTGGCTTATTATCCGTTTGTAAAGTGGTTATATTTCCTCTATATTGACAGTTGAGAAATAATTTTTACAGTATACTCAAAGCTGAGACTCTCCTCTTTTTTTAACAACAGTAACAGTAGTTGTTTTAAAAACAACTATGTCTTTCACACAATTACATTTCTAAATGTTGCTCAACTGCGCTTATCAGAATGCATCTCTCCCTTCACTCCGTGTGCAAAGGGGGGAGAAGGAGTGAGAGGCAGCAGCGAAACAGGGACAGGGTAGATCCTTTCATTCAGGAAGCAGATTAATGCACACTACTGTTGACCAAATAATGGTTTTAGAACCAAAAAATCTGCAGGAACGTTGTGTAGTCTAAACAACGACATAAGCAAAATTGCTTCGGTAAGAGGAGGACAACGTCGGTTTATCGTCCCAGCTCTAGGTAGGATTGTTGTCTATCAAATTGTACCTTCACCCTTCTCTCTCCTCTGGCAACGGCCTGACTCACACTGGCACACACACAGTCAGAGGCGCACATGTGGATAGCTCTAACATCTTGAAAGTGCGGCTCGAATATTATTTGATGTTGCCGTTTTGCCGTGGTGGTAACAATTACGCAGCAGCGCAATGTAAAACAGTGTAGTCATCTCCGTCACATTTTTTAAGACCTTTGAAAACTGAATTGAAGACATTTTTAGACTTATTAAAGCCTAAATAAATAAATTAAATTAATTTCAGACCCGCGGACACCTTGTTTCATACTTTCATAAAATGAGTGTGAAGGAACAAAGTGCAGGTTCATGTTTTTGCTGAGATGACTATGTCTATACACAGAGAGAAAGGCTGTGCATATGTGTACTTGAGGTTGTTCATGTGTGTCCTAAAGGTTGAACGTGTGTGTATGTACAGTGGGGAAAAAAAGTATTTATTCAGCCACCAATTGTGCAAGTTCTCCCACTTAAAAAGATGAGAGAGGCCTGTAATTTTCATCATAGGTACACATCAACTATGACAGACAAAATGAGGAAAAAAAATCCAGAAAATCACATTGTAGGATTTTTAATGAATTTATTTGCAAATTATGGTGGAAAATAAGTATTTGGTCAATAACAAAAGTTTCTCAATACTTTGTTATATACCCTTTGTTGGCAATGACACAGGTCAAATGTTTTCTGTAAGTCTTCACAAGGTTTTCACATACTGTTGCTGGTATTTTGGCCCATTCCTCCATGCAGATCTCCTCTAGAGCAGTGATGTTTTGGGGCTGTCGCTGGGCAACACAGACTTTCTACTCCCTCCAAAGATTTTCTATGGGGTTGAGATCTGGAGACTGGCTAGGCCACTCCAGGACCTTGAAATGCTTCTTACGAAGTCACTCCTTCGTTGCCCGGGTGGTGTGTTTGGGATCATTGTCATGCTGAAAGACCCAGCCACGTTTCATCTTCAATGCCCTTGCTGATGGAAGGAGGTTTTCACTCAAAATCTCACGATACATGGCCCCATTCATTCTTTCCTTTACACGGATCAGTCGTCCTGGTCCCTTTGCAGAAAAACAGCCCCAAAGCATGATGTTTCCACCCCCATGCTTCACAGTAGGTATGGTGTTCTTTGGATGCAACTCAGCATTCGTTGTCCTCCAAACAAGACGAGTTGAGTTTTTACCAAAAAGTTCTATTTTGGTTTCATCTGACCATATGACATTCTCCCAATCCTCTTCTGGATCATCCAAATGCACTCTAGCAAACTTCAGACGGGCCTGGACATGTACTGGCTTAAGCAGGGGGACACGTCTGGCACTGCAGGATTGAGTCCCTGGCGGTGTAGTGTGTTACTGATGGTAGGCTTTGTTACTTTGGTCCCAGCTCTCTGCAGGTCATTCACTAGGTCCCCCCGTGTGGTTCTGGGATTTTTGCTCACCGTTCTTGTGATCATTTTGACCCCACAGAGTGAGATCTTGCGTGGAGCCCCAGATCGAGGGAGATTATCAGTGGTCTTGTATGTCTTCCATTTCCTAATAATTGCTCCCACAGTTGATTTCTTCAAACCAAGCTGCTTACCTATTGCAGATTCAGTCTTCCCAGCCTGGTGCAGGTCTACAATTTTGTTTCTGGTGTCCTTTGACAGCTCTTTGGTCTTGGCCATAGTGGAGTTTGGAGTGTGACTGAGGTTGTGGACAGGTGTCTTATACTGATAACAAGTTAAAACAGGTGCCATTAATACAGGTAACGAGTGGAGGACAGAGGAGCCTCTTAAAGAAGAAGTTACAGGTCTGTGAGAGCCAGAAATCTTGCTTGTTTGTAGGTGACCAAATACTTATTTTCCACCATAATTTGCAAATAAATTCATTAAAAATCCTACCATGTGATTTTCTGGAGAAAAAAAATCTAAATTTGTCTGTCATAGTTGACGTGTACCTATGATGAATATTACAGGCCTCTCTCATCTTTTTAAGTGGGAGAACTTGCACAATTGGTGGCTGACTAAATACTTTTTTTCCCCACTGTATATACTAGAGGTCACACATTGGCTGTACAGTGTGTATTGGAGGCAGTGAATGTTCATCATAGAGTTGCTGCTGCTCTGCTCTCTGCTCTCTCCGTTTGGGTTCCAGCACCACTCTCCTCTCTCTATTTGTGTTCCAGCACCACTCTCCTCTCTCTGTTTGGGTTCCAGCACCTCTCTCTGCTCTCTCTGTTAGGGTTCCAGCACCTCTCTCTGTTTGGGTTCCAGCACCTCTCTGCTCTCTCTGTTTGGGTTCCAGCACCTCTCACCTCTCTCTGTTTGGGCTCCAGCACCTCTTCGTCTTTGCCCCTGTCCTTGTCTGGAGTGTCCAGCGGGGGCAGGCCATACACACCGTTCAGACACGTCCGCAGCATCTCAAAGTTGTCATTCTCCGTCAGCGCTGGCTCCAGGTTACTGGGGTCAGCCTGTGGTCAAGGATTAATAACATCACTCAGTAGGAGCTAGGGATATACAAAACTTTCCAAAAATTCCCAGGTTTTCCAGACATCCTGGTTGGAAGATTCCTGGAATCAGGAGGGAAGGAATCAGCAGGAAATCCAGAATCCTCCAACTAGTATTTCTGGAAAACATGGGAATTTTGGGAAAGTTACCGGATTTTGCAACCCTAGTATGGAAGATGAAACACCTGGTACTGACAAGCTCCTGGCAGGCTGACTGTCTATGGCTGACATCTCTAGGCTCTGTTCCAACATGCAACCCACTAGCACACCTCTTGGAATTAAAGGATACATGAGGTTGGCACACGTCGTCATCACAAGGTGGCGAACCGGAGTCCGCATGGCATCCGTCGGTTCTGCCTTGATAAAATCCTTCAACAAAGTAAAGGAAGATATTGAGAGGGAACAACACAATCAGGACCACTTTACTATAGCACCCCTTATATCATAGAGCCTTTCTAACAGATACATAAGACATAACAGCCGTCATAGGCAGTCATAAACAATGTTTTGGCAGTTGGTGTGATCTAAATCCGGTAACATTTAATTTAATCCTCCGTCATAAGGGATACATAATACTGTCATAACAATGACATAACAGAATACATAAACATCACATAACATGACATAACAGAATACATAAACATCACATAACATGACATAACAGATGACAAACACTGACCATCATGACTCCCATGAGTTCCTGCTTGCGGACGAACATGTAGCCCTGTTTGCGTATGACGGTGCTGATGGCCTTGGCTATGAGCCCCACGCTCTGAATCAGACTCAGCTTCATGGTCAGGTCCTGACGGGGGGGGGAAATACAGCGTACACACACACACACACACACACCACCCCGATAGAGGCACACACACACACACACAGAGACAGACAGACAAAAACACACACAAAAATACACACACAAAGACAAACACACAGCCTCAGACTGTGTTCATGGTAATTGGCGATGGCGGTCAGAGGTTTAGTTTGTTCGCATCGTTGTGAGCAAGACAACCAAATATTAGTTGTATAGTGCAACCCTCAAGCATACACAGACAGTCACTTACCCTATGATTCTAAAGTTCCCTCTGACATCAATAAAACGTCTAGAGATTGATAGACTAGAGCAGGACCAAAGATTTCAACCGTAGTGATTTCTATATTTTGTTGAAATGTCAGGGGTCCATAAAAGAACGATCTTAAACTTCATAAGAGCATCCCATCAATAGAATGTTTTCAGCACATGGCATAAGAAACAATAGAGTACGGTTGGGTCAGTCACATAAATTCAACTGAAGATGAATTTCACAACTTTTCAGTTGGCTTAAAATCTATGTATACAGTGCATTCGGAAAGCATTCAGACCCCTTCACTTTTTCCACATTGTTACGTTACAGCCTTATTCTAAAACTGATTAAATTGTTAGTTTTTTCCCTCATCAATCTACACAATAACCCATAATGACAAAGCAAATGTATAAAAAAAAAAACGGTGATATCACATTTACATAATTATTCAGACCCTTTACTCACTTTGAAGCACCTTTGGCAGCGATTACAGCCTCGAGTCTTCTTGGGTATGACGCTACAAGCTTGGCACACCTGTATTTGGGGAGTTTCTCCTATTCTTCTCTGCAAATCCTCTCAAGGTCTGTCATGTTGGATGGGTAGTGTTGCTGCACAGCTATTTTCAGGTCTCTCCAGAGATGTTTGTTTGGGTTCAAGTCCGGGCTCTGGCTGGGCCACTCAAGGACATTCAGAGACTTCTCCCGAAGCCACTCCTGCGTTGTCTTGGCTGTGTGCTTAGGGTCGTGGTCCTGTTTGAAGGTGAACCTGCGCCTCAGTCAGAGATCCTGAGCAGGTTTTCATCAAGGATCTTTCTGTACTTTGCTCCGTTCATCTTTCCCTCGATTCTGACTAGTCTCCCAGTCCCTGCCGCTGAAAGACATCCCCACAGCATGATGCTGCCACCACCATGCTTCACCGTAGGGATGGTATTGGCCAGGTGATGAGCGGAGCCAGGTTTCCTCCAGATGTGACGCTTGACATTCAGGCCAAAGAGTTCAATCTTGGTTTCATCAGACCAAGAATCTTGTTTCTAAATGGTCTGAGAGTCCTTTAGGTGCCTTTTGGCAAACTCCAAGCGGGCTGTCATGTGCCTTTTACTGAGGAGTGGATTCCGTCTGGCCACTCTACCCTAAAGGACTGATTGGTGGAGTGCTGCAGAGATGGTTGTCCTTCTGGAAGGTTCTCCCATCTCCACAGCTCTGTCAGAGTGACCATCGGGTTCCTGGTCACCTCCCTGACCAAGGCCCTTCTCCCACGATTGCTCAGTTTGGCCGGGCAGCCAGCTCTAGGAAGAGTCTTGGTGGTTCCAAACTTCTTCCATTTAAGAATGATGGAGGCCAATGTGTTCTTGAGGACCCTCAATACTGCAGAAATGTTTTGGTACCCTTCCCCAGATCTGTGCCTCGACATAATCCTGTCTCGGAGCTCTACGGACAATTCCTTTGACCTCATGGCTTGGTTTTCGCTCTGACATGCACTGTCAACTGTGGGACCTTATATAGACAGGTGTGTGCCTTTCCAAATCATGTCCAATCAATTGAATTGACAACAGGTGGACTCCAATCAAGTTGTAGAAACATCTCAAGGATGATCAATGGAAACAGGATGTAACTGAGCTCAATTTAGAGTCTCATAGCAAAGGGTCTGCATACTTATGTAAATAAGGTATTTCTGTTTTTAATACATTTGCAAACATCTCTAAAAACCTGTTTTCGCTTTGTCATTATGGGGTATTGTGTGTAGATTGATGAGGGGGAAAAAATACTTTAATCCATTTTAGACTAAGGCTGCAACGTAACAAAATGTGGTAAGGGTGAAGGGGTCTGAATACTTTCCCGAATGCACTGTAGATACCGGTCAATATCAATTAAACAATCAATCAAAAGTAGAGGGTGTATTTTTTGAGAATGATCATCCATGCCTTGATTTGGAGACTGTAAATGTCAGAGAGAAATGTAAGCTTTGCAATCTGGATGGGAAAAAATAATTTCAACATCAAATTTCACCATCTGATTTGGCATCACAACCTAAGAGCTGGTGTGAGTCTTAGATCAGAAAGGTAAGGAAACACCATAGTGCCCCTAGAAACACCATAGAGCCATACAGTGTTAGTACGACATTGAGGGCATTCAAAAGCTCTAAACGTTCTGAACTTCTGAAACATAGAGGCAAACAAACACACTGCCTCCCCATCATAACTCTTTTCAACTAGAGAGACATTTACTTCTAAAAGTTCAGAACGTTGAAGCAGCAGCGTTCTAGAGAGAAGAGATTGTTACAAGAGTTTTAGTGAGAGAGAGAGCGTAGAGAGAGAGAGAGGATCCTTTGTCAGGGTCCCGTCACGGTACCTTGGTCTCTATTTTAATCCCCAGAACCTGCACAACATAAAAGTAACAAGGAGTTTAATTCACAAGTGTACGCTACTAGACAAGAATATATCCTTTCCCCTAAAGAGAAGAGAATGTGCTCTTTCCCCTCATTAAGAAAATGTTTTATCTGACTACAGAAGGCCCTTACCATGAAACTGTTCCACATTTAGATGGTTAACCGTGGTATGGGAGAGCGATACATTAAATGTCTCACAGATACAGATGAACTCTATATCCGCATTGCAGTGCAGTAAAAAGGTTAGCAAATGTTACAGTGCTGGCCAACTAGCCGTATCCAATTAAATGAGCCCTGTGTGGAACCCAAATGACTCAATGGATATAGACTTGGCTTCTTAACGTTAAACACCTTATGTGTGTGTGTCCAACCACCCACCCTAACCACAGACATAAAAATCCTATGCTCCAATTCAAGTGGAAATCTGGAGGTCATACATTGGCAGCGGCCCCTGAATGCTGCAGTTTAACAGGACTCATTTAACAAAGAAAACTATGAAGGCTAGTTTTCAGACAGTCATTGTAATGCTAAGCATATGGCCGGCGGGTAAAGGAGATCCCTGGGGATATAAACCAGGTTCATCTGAGGCCACGGAGAGACAGAGAGACCTCCTGAATGATATGGCGTGATCTCTCCTTCAACTGATTGATATAATCACATATTCCTTTTACTGTGGTTTTTGTTGTGTGGTTTATGTTCCTTTCAAATGCCACAAATATGCCCCATCATTGGTTTTCTTTAAAAAACAGTTAGCGATGGTTTAGTATTAGATACAGTTGAAGTCGGAAGTTTACGTACACCTTAGCCAAATACATTTAAACTCAGTTTTTCACAATTCCTGACATTTAATCCTAGTAAAAATTCCCTGTCTTAGGTCAGTTAGGATCACCACTTTATTTTAAGAATGTGAAATGTCAGAATAATAGTAGAGAGAATGATTTATTTCAGCTTTTATTTCTTTCATCACATTCCCAGTTGGTCAGAAGTTTACTTACACTCAATTAGTATTTGGTAGCATTGCCTTTAAATTGTTTAACTTCCCACAATAAGTTGGGTGAATAAGTTTCCCACAATAAATTGGGTGAATTTTGGCCCATTCCTCCTGACAGAGCTGGTGTAACTGAGTCAGGTTTGTAGGCCTCCTTGCTCGCACACACTTTTTCAGTTCTGCCCACAAATGTTCTATAGGATTGAGGTCAGGGCTTTGTGATGGCCTCTCCATTACCTTGACTTTGTTGTCCTTAAGCCATTTTGCCACAACTTTGGAAGTATGCTTGGGGTCATTGTCCATTTGGAAGACCCATTTGCGACCAAGCTTTAACTTCCTGACTGATGTCTTGAGATGTTGCTTCAATATATCCACATAATTTACCTTCCTCATGATGCCATCTATTTTGTGAAGTGCACCAGTCTCTCCTGCAGCAAAGCACCCCCACAGCATGATGCTGCCACACCCGTGCTTCACGGTTGGGATGGTGTTCTTCGGCTTGCAAGCATCCCCCTTTTTCCTCCAAACATAACGATGGTCATTATGGCCAAACAGTTCTATTTTTTTTTCATCAGACCAGAGGACATTTCTCCAAAAAGTAAAATTTTTGTCCCCATGTGCAGTTGCAAACCGTAGTCTGGCTTTTTTATGGCGGTTTTGGAGCAGTGGCTTCTTCCTTGCTGAGCGGCCTTTCAGGTTATGTCGATATAGGACTCGTTTTACTGTGGATATAGATACTTTTGTACCTGTTTCCTCCAGCATTTTGGCAAGTTGGTTAGGACATCTACTTTGTGCATGACACGTAATTATTCCAACAATTGTTTACAGAGATTATTTCACATATAATTCACTGTATCACAATTCCAGTGGGTCAGAAGTTTACATACACTAAGTTGACTGTGCCTTTAAACAGCTTGGAAAATTCTAGAAAATGATGTCATGGCTTTAGAAGCTTCTGATAGGCTAATTGACATAATTTGAGTCAATTGGAGGTGTACCTGTGGATGTATTTCAAGGCCTACCTTCAAACCCAGTGCCTTTGCTTGACATCATGGGAAAATCAAAAGAAATGAGCCAAGACCTCAGAAGAAAAAAATGGTAGACCTCCACAAGTCTGGTTCATCCTTGGGAGCAATTTCCAAACGTCTGAAGGACCTTGTGAAGATGCTGGAGGAAACAGGTACAAAGGTATCTATATCCACAGTAAAATGAGTCCTATATCGACATCACCTGAAAGGGCGCTCAGCAAGGAAGAAGCCACTGCTCCAAAACCGCCATAAAAAAGCCAGACTACGTTTTGCAACTGCACATGGGGACAAAAATTGTACTTTTTGGAGAAATGTCCTCTGGTCTGATGAAACAAAAATAGAACTGTTTGGCCATAATGACCATCGTTATGTTTGGAGGAAAAAGGGGGTGGCTTGCAAGCCGAAGAACACCATCACAACCGTGAAGCACAAGGATGGCAGCATCATGCTGTGGTGGGGCTTTGCTGCAGGAGGGACTGGTGCACTTCACAAAATAGATGGCATCATGAGGAAGGAAAATTATGTGGATATATTGAAGCAACATCTCAAGACATCAGTCAGGAAGTTAAAGCTTGGTCGCAAATGGGTCTTCCAAATGGACAATGACCCCAAGCATACTTCCAAAGTTGTGGCAAAATGGCTTAAGGACAACAAAGTTAAGGTATTGGAGTAGCCATCACAAAGCCCTGACCTCAATCCTACAGAAAATGTGTGGGCAGAACTGAAAAGGCGTGTGCGAGCTAGGAGGCCTACAAACCTGACTCAGTTACACCAGCTCTGTCAGGAGGAATGGGCCAAAATTCACCCAACTTATTGTGGGAAGCTTGTGGAAGGCTCCCCGAAACGTTTGAAACAAGTTAAACAATTTAAAGGCAATGCTACCAAAAACTAATTCCCACTGGGAATGTGATGAAAGAAATAAAAGCTGAAATAAATCGCTCTCTACTATTATTCTGACATTTCACATTCTTAAAATAAAGTGGTGATCCTAACTGACCTAAGACAGGGAATTTTTACTAGGATTAAATGTCAGGAATTGTGAAAAACTGAGTTTAAATGTATTTGGCTAAGGTGTATGTAAACTTCCAACTTCAACTGTATGTCCTACTTCATCTCTCCCAGGCCCTAGCTCCTTACCTTGGTGTTGAAGTGCTTACTGATGCTGCGGAGGATGTCGGAGTCAATGCGGGACAGGATCTGGTCCTCTGGGGCGTGGAGTGCTACGTAACCGTAACACAGGATCAGCGTGCTCTTCATCTTCTCTACATCCATGTCATTCTTGTCCTGAGGAAGAGGAGGTAGTGATGGGAGGATGAAGGTTTCCCCAGACACAGATTGAGGCTAGTACTGGACTAAAAGCTATTTCAATGTGGGATTAATGTCAACTTTGTAAAAACCTTCAAATATACAAATTAGGCTAATTAAATCAGTTTATCAATACCTGTACATGTTTCCTTTCAAATACTTTAGCAGGGCTTGATAGAGCTCGTCTGGTGAAATGGAACCAATGGAATAATCCCAAAAGTGCAAATCTTGCCTACTGTATGTGGCACTCCAGGCAGGCTCAATCAAACGCTCAAAATAGTAGAACGAAATCAACACACTCCATAAAATCTTGAATCAGAATCTGTCAAATTGCTGACTGTATGAGGCATTGAGAGAACCTCCAAGGCAGACATTGCCAAGTTTATGATTTTTTCCACCTACGATGAAAATAAAAACATAGCCTACTAACTTTGAGCAGGCTGAATATTCCGGAGGCTTTCCTGAAGGCGTCAGATTTCCCAAAGTCGTCCAGTTTGGCCAGAGTGGCATCGAGATGACTGCTGGCACACAGCCCGATCCCCATGGCGACACCCTGGGAAACCCATTACCCCAAACACACCCAATTAGTACAGTTTAATGGATGCTTAAGCCTCCAATGACCAAATAGTACATCTATATTATCATTAACATCGTCATTAGAATTTGACTACCACTCTCTGTTATTAGGCCTAAAGATTGTAAAAACACAAAAATTCCTAATCATCTGGTTGTAATACAACGGAAATGAGGGGGGGGAAAAAACGTTTAATTCCAGACACAAATTACAGCTTAGGAAGGCAGACGTGACCTGCCTTTGAAAATAATCAAAGGCTTAAGAGTACTTGTCACAAGACTGTCTTTACTAGGCAATTTAGCTGTAGAGGCCACCGTACAAAGACACACTGTTCTGCCTGGCGACGCTCTGCCCTGCCTTACGCAGACAATTACATGAAGGGTCACGATGAACGTATGAAGACAAATACACAAACAAACCCCTAGTTTCTGTGTAATTCCAACCATCAATGTACACAATGCCCTGGTGTTTATGAGCTACTCGGGGGGGGTAGAAAAGCAACTGCTATCAAGAGGATCGTAGCCTGACTCAAATGGGGTCGGACTAAGAGGTTTACCGCTCTCTCGATGGCGTCGTTGTGTCGTGCGCTGATCAGTATCTCCTGCAGCTGCTTCTGGACCACCTCCTTGTTGTAACAATGCTGCAGAGTCACTCCAATGCACCTGTAGAGGAAACTCTGTGGAAAGAGCCATGAAGCCAAGACTATAAACCTTGATAGTTTGTAGAATATATTGTTTTCAAGAAGATATTGGTCATGAAGAACTCTTGGCCATACTCATGGTTGAAGCGAGGTAAGGATGAGGTTGGCCCTACTCATGGTTGAAGCGAGGTAAGGATGAGGTTGGCCCTACTCATGGTTGAAGCGAGGTTAGGATGAGGTTGGCCCTACTCATGGTTGAAGAGAGGTTAGGATGAGGTTGGCCCTACTCATGGTTGAAGAGAGGTTAGGATGAGGTTGGCCCTACTCATGGTTGAAGAGAGGTTAGGATGAGGTTGGCCCTACTCATGGTTGAAGAGAGGTTAGGATGAGGTTGGCCCTACTCATGGTTGAAGAGAGGTTAGGATGAGGTTGGCCCTACTCATGGTTGAAGAGAGGTTAGGATGAGGTTGGCCCTACTCATGGTTGAAGAGAGGTTAGGATGAGGTTGGCCCTACTCATGGTTGAAGAGAGGTTAGGATGAGGTTGGCCCTACTCATGGTTGAAGAGAGGTTAGGATGAGGTTGGCACTACTCATGGTTGAAGAGAGGTTAAGATGAGGTTTGTTCACTAACCTTCTCCTCCAGGGACTGATTATAGGTGGAGAGGTAACGCGTGGCCTCTATAGCCAGCTGGCAGCTCCACTTGTCATCAGCTATGGCCACCAGGGACTTGGCTAGGAGCTGTATATGTCCAGACAAAACCCCACCACACAGCCATGTGACTACATCATAATGCTGTACATCAAATCCCTTTGTGACTGAAACAACAGCAAACACTTCTTATGCAACACTTTATGTGTCAGACACTGTCTACGTCCCAAACGGCACCCTATTCCCTATGTAGTGCACTACTTTTGACCAGAGCATCTTAAAAGGAATAAGATGCAATTTGGGACGCACCCTGTTCTGCATAGTGACTGTTATTGACAGTGTTGTGGAGACAGACAAAGAGATGTTAGATAAAGACCACCATAGTGACTGTTATTGACAGTGTTGTGGAGACAGACAAAGAGATGTTAGATAAAGACCAGCATACCTGTAATAGACTCTCTTCCCATTTCTTGTTGTCTAGTGTTTCTGGTGTAGACTCTGTAAAGAAGTAGAATAGAGAATAAACCATAATACTCAGACCTCGCTCGCTGCACTTCCTGTCAGACAACAAAAAGAGTTCCAAGCCGACCAAAGAGCTAAAATGATTTAAGATCAGTTTTAATACCCTATGCTCTACTTAAATCCAAGTTATGTATTTTTATGATGGAAAGACGAAATAGGCCACAGTTAAAAAAGCTCTATCACAAAAAATATATATAGCCCCGACATTGCCTTTAAAAATGTGAATCACTTATAACGTCCCTTAACTGGAGCTGTTGTGGTAAGATGTGCCTTTATTAATATCAGTTCTCTCTCAGTAGAATACACGGAGCAAGAACTATTTTATACCACTGACATTAGAATGGGGTTCAAACAGCCCCCTAAGCTGTCAATACTGCAGTAGCAATAAAAGTCACTCAGGGTTATTTCTGCTTTGCTCTCCAAAGGGGGGTCATTCAGAGAGAGATATAGGAGGAGTCCCAAATGGCACCTTATTCCCTATATAATGCACTACTTTTGACCAGGGCCCATAAGCACAACATAGGGAGCCATTTTGGACACTACCATAGCTCGCTATAGGTTATAAGGCTCTGGGGTCATTGAGTTGAGGTCATTTACCTTCCAGGTAGCTGAGGAGAGCAGGGATCTCCTTCTCCCAGAGTGCCTCAGTGTTGGGGTGGATATTAGGGCTTATGACGTTCAGTAGAGACAGAGACGGTGCACCATGGCCACGACTCCGGAACGGGAACGAACCGTTCACCTGAGACACACACACACACGACGCGACCACATCCCGACTTACAGGTAAGACAAAGAAATAGCCCAGCTATTATTGGAGACATTTATCATATTTTTGGGGTTTAAATCAAGTTCAAGTTTTATAAAACTCCCACATAGCAAACTGAAATCCATGCGCATACAAATGGAATGCCATTAGGGTTTCATAGACTCACCAAGAGCCGGACCATCAGTATATGTGGAGAGGGAAGATTAACTGAATTGAAAAGAAGAACAAGATGAGAGCGTAAACAAGGTTGATAGCAGACTAAAGCATTATAATGAATGACTGAATGATTAACTGGCCAGGCTCTTACTTCTCCCCACAAAGAGTTCAGCTTAATCATCGTCTTCTCATTGAAACAATGACCTTACAGTTCAAGCCCCGGGCAACGCTAGTGCTTTATTTAGTGATAAATGTGGCTTCTCATTCAGCTAATCAGAACCAGACACTCTGGTCTGTCTGGCCTCTCAGCACCAAACCAACGGCCCTTTAATGAGAACAAAATGGCTGTATAAAATATACTTTCAACAGAAAAAAAAACGATTCCCAATCCCAAAGAAGTGCTGACGAGGAGTAGGCCGGGGCTGCCTGGCTGCGGCCATCTTGTTTACATTAAAGGGCTTGTGTGCCGAATCCCAAGACGGGAACGCCAGACGGACTCAGAGAGAGGAAAAGGAAAAGAGGAAATGACCTCATGCCATTGGTCAGATCCCCCTGGCTCATCGTGATGACATCATAATGGTTTGTTAATATGAATGTAATGTACTGTGTGTGAATGTACTGTATGTGAATGTACTCTGTGGAAAATGTACTCTGTGGAAAAATATGTACTCTGTGAAAAAATATGTACTCTGTGAGGAGTACTCTGTGAAAAATGTACTCTGTGTACACGTACTGTATGTCTACCAGGGAGAATGCAATATACAAATTACAAATGTCTGTTGCGCACGTAGTAAACGGATTTCCTTCTTCTAAAGACACCTACCTTGCTCGTTGAAGTCTATGTTGAAGTTGGGCTCCTGGGCGGCTCTCTTCTTGGTGCCCAGCAGTGTGAGGCTCTTGCAGAGCGGTGCGGTGGCGTTGGAGTACTGACCTGGGGTCAGGTAGTACAGCAGCATGGGCCACAGGACCTGAAGACAGACAGACAGAGGATCAGTCAGGTACTACAGCATGGGCCACAGGACCTGAAGACAGACAGACAGAGGATCAGTCAGGTACTACAGCATGGGCCACAGGACCTGAAGACAGACAGACAGAGGATCAGTCAGGTACAGCAGCATGGGCCACAGCATCTGAAGACAGACAGACAGCTACTACAGCATGGACCACAGCACGTGAAGACAGATGTACAGTAATATCACAACATTGAGTTTGCCTGGTACAATTAAACCAATAGCATAGACAAATGTGCAAACCCATAACTCTAGACATGCTAAATCAAACCCATAACTATAGGCATGCTAAATTAAACCCACAACTATAGGCATGCTAAATCAAACCCAGAACTATAGGCATGCTAAATTAAACCCACAACTATAGGCATGCTAAATCAAACCCAGAACTATAGGCATGCTAAATCAAACCCACATCTATAGGCATGCTAAATCAAACCCACATCTATAGGCATGCTAAATCAAACCCACATCTATAGGCATGCTAAATCAAACCCACAACTATAGGCATGCTAAATCAAACCCACAACTATATGCATGCTAAATCAAACCCATAACTCTAGACATGCTAAATCAAACCCAGAACTATAGACATGCTAAATCAAACCCAGAACTATAGGCATGCTAAATCAAACCCAGAACTATAGGCATGCTAAATCAAACCCACAACTATAGGCATGCTAAATCAAACCCAGAACTATAAATCAAACTCTCTCAAAATATTTCAACTATGATTTGAAACCAATTCTGCAGTCCAACTGTCCATGCAATGAAGACTTCAGCCAGTGGCCAAGAAAGGCAAGAATGCAGTGTAGACACAGAGATTTAATCCAATGAAGGCATGGTAAATCACTGTTCTCTTCGGTCTCTGTCAATGCCTTGTCTAATAGCTTCCAGTGGGAAGTAATACAAGAGACATGTCATCTCAGAGAGAGTGTTGATGTTGGGAACCGCAAAGGAACAAGTAACTAAGAGCAGAGTGATTGGCTGTAAAACAGACAGGGTGATGCTGTCTTTGGATGTGACGCTGTCACTGTGTCAAGTGTTTATGAGGATCTTCTCTGTCGGTCTCGGCAAGGAAAACAGAGCAGGTTTCCCCCCCCCCCCCCCAAGACATCTGATGATAGTTAATACTTTCCTGACTGAGCTTCTTTACACAAACGTCCATATTATAGCAATCCCACCCTCAACCTCTTCTCACAAGTATTATGTTTGGTGTTAAGTGTGACTTGGCTCCGATGTATTCCAAAGCCGTTTTTACAGCAGGAACAAACATTAAAATGTAATTTGTTCACTGCCTCTATACCTGAAACCATTCGATGAACGACAAAATATGTTTCTGCATCAATATGCTCATCGGATAAATAATGTTCATGTGAGAGAGAAGAAGACAGGCAATAGATTGGAGAGAGAGAGAGAGAGAGAGAGAGAGAGAGAGAGAGAGAGGAGAGAGGAGAGAGAGAAAAGGAGAGAGGAGAGAGAAAGAGAGAGAGGAGAGAGAAAGAAAGAAAAGGAGAGAGAAAGAAAAGGAGAGAGAGGAGAGAGAGAGAGAGAAAGAGAGAGAGAGAGAGAGAAAAGGAGAGAGGAGAGAAAGAGAGAGAGAGAAAGACAGAGTTTTGTTTTCGCTTTTATACAATGTCATGTGTCCTTTTTTTTTTTTTTTTTGTCATTTAGCAGACGCTCTTATCCAGAGCGACTTACAGGAGCAATTAGGGTTAAGTGCCTTGCTCAAGGGCACATCGACAGATTTTTCACCTAGTCGGCTCGGGGATTAGAACCAGCGATCTTTCGGTTACTGGCACAACGCTCTTAACCACTAAGCTACCTGCCGCCCTAGTCATGTTGAGACTGGTCTACTACTATTGCTTTAAGTCTTGTTATTCTCATTAATATTATTGTTGTAGTTGCTGTTAATGGTAATCCCATTTCTACAACAACTATTATTATTTCTGTTGGTCCCACCATTTTTGTTATATGTATACTTTGACAATGTAAGTAATTTAACTTGCCATGTCAATAAAGTCTATTGAATTGAGAGAGAGAGAACAGTGAGAAAAACAGAGATACAAAGAGAGAGAGAAAGAGGAAACTGAGAGAGGAGTCTTATCTCCATGCAGTAGACTCACGTCAGTCAGGCGTCCTACAGTCGTAGTGAAGAGGTCAAGTGTGTTGTCACACATGCTCCGCAGCGCCTCATTGGTCACTTCCTCCGGGTCACTGGGGCGCTGGCCTGGACGCTGCAACAAACCAAACCCACACACAGTTCTTTAGAAACACACACACACACACCACCATATACAAGTCAGAGTATTTTTTACTGATCCACCATTTACAATGTCATGCTAATCCTTCGCCAAGGATAATGGCTTCAGACCAATAAGTATTGTAGACATGCTAAACGTACATAGTAAGTGTCAGGGAGAGCACAGTGTTGGATGATAAACTTGACCAGCAGGTCTCCTCCCTCCAGCTCCAGGTAACCATGGTGAGCCATGGCACTGATCACCTGGACAACCCTCTTCTTCACCTGCAGGGAGAAACAATAGACAGGTCAGAGGTCAAGTATAACACTAACATTAAAACGTTAAGAAAACATTTTGGGTCGGTTTCCCTGATTAAGCAGGTAATAGCCTATTGAAAGTGGTTTTCAAACCAGGACCAGATTTAATCCATGTCTGGGAATTTAGGCCATTATGTATGATGTGTTCCCCAATGATAAAATGTTTTTTTTGTTTTTTTACAGCGTGTGGATATGGGTAATTGAAACGGTCTTTGATTTTATTTTCTATGCCTTTTAGGAGTGAAAACTGCGCCAAAGTGTAACAGTTTAATATTTACACATGGCGTGCGGTTACCTTATTGCTGTGGTCAGCCAGTGGTTGTCTGATGCTGGCCAGGATGAGAAGCTTCTTCGACTCCATAATGGATGCTAGATCACAGACAGGAAGACTTGAGTAACGTCATGAGGTCATTTCATATCAAACAAGTCCCTTTTAAGTACCAGTGATGCTTTCAAATCCAGAGAACGGAGTCACTTAACACTAGAACCTCTAAAGCAGTCATTTTGACTGCTCATTCATTAATTTATTTTATTACTCTGCCATTTTTAAAGTCATGCCTCCCTCTGTCCTTGACTTTTCCTATATAAGTCTATTTAACACACTGTCATTGTTAGAACCTTAATATCACAAACAGAATAGGAGTTATAACCAGTTTTAGGAGGGCATGTCATTATTTGAATGGTTTTACACCATAAGTTGGTGTGGGTGTTTTGGATCAGATGGCACGGCTGTACTCGGTGAAAGGAGGCACCCGCCGCTGGCCTGTTGCTTTGTTCTACAACATGCTTGACTTTGCTGCTATCAAAACACACGTGTTCAAGCAGAGCATGAACAACACCATGCCCTATAGAGACTTCATCACTAGTCTGGCATACGAGCTCCGTGAGAGACACGAGGGCCAAGGCAGCAGCAAAGATTCCACGTGAGCTTTTGCGCGAGGCAAATTGCACACATCTCCCGGGGAGGAGACAGTGCCAGGTGGCCAGATGCACAAAGAACAGAACCCAAGACATCTGTGTCACCTGCAAGCGACGTGTTTGTGGGACGTGTTTCAAGCAAATTAAAGTGGCAAAGATTTGTCGACTGTTAGGACAAGGGATAACAGATAAATGAAATCCAACCGATGCCATTGCGTGAAGCACACCATGTAACCACGAGCTGACAATAGTTTACTATTTTTGACTGCAGTCATATCGACACTTATATTATTTATAATGCCATTAATGCTTTTCATCATTTGACAGAGAATTTTGCTGAAAATGCATCTTTGTGTTTGGGACATTTTGTAAAAAAACAACAACAAAAACTTCATAAAAATAAGCTGTTAACGTGGTATCTATTTCATAGTTGTAACAAAGGCACTCCACTAATAAAATTGATTGAACAGTTGAGTTTGTGTTTTTACATATAGCCTACAGTAACAAACTAATGAAAGTGCTATTTTGTTATTTGAAATGAAACAAATAATCGAATTCTAACGTTACCTAACACCTGCATGAACACAACCAAATGATTATTTAGCAATAGCATATATGACATTTATTAATTACACTGTTAGAATGTTGCAGTCAGAATGACCCAGTGGTTCTAGTGTTAAATAGTTGCTGTACTGTCTGTATATAAAGGGAGTAAGTTGCTGTACTGTATACAAGAGAGTGAGTAAGTAGTAGTGTCTTTATGAATACTGTAGTGAGTAGTAGTGTATTTATGAATACTGTAGTGAGTAGTAGTGTCTTTATGAATACTGTAGTAGTGAGTAGTTGTGTCTATGAATACTGTAGTAGTGAGTAGTAGTGCCTATATGAATACTGTAGTAGTGAGTAGTAGTGTCTTTATGAATACTGTAGTGAGTAGTAGTGTCTATAGGTATACTGTAGTAGTGAGTAGTATTGTCTATAGGTATACTGTAGTAGTGAGTAGTAGTGTCTATATGAATAATGTAGTAGTGAGTAGTAGTGTCTATGTATACTGTAGTAGTGTCTATATGTATACTGTAGTAGTGAGTAGTAGTGTCTACATATACAGTGCATTCAGAAAGTATTCAGATCCCTTGACTTTTTCCACGTTTTGTTACATTACAGCTTTATTCTAAAATGGATAAAATAAATTATTCAGTCTATACACAATAACCCATAATGACAAAGTGAAAACAGGTTTAGAATTTGCAAATGTATTAAAAATAAAAAACTGAAATACCTTATTCATATAAGTATTCAGACCCTTTGATATGAGACTCGAAGTTGAGCTCAGGCGCATCCTGTTTCCATTGATCATCCTTGAGATGTTTCTATAACTTGATCCACCTGTGGCAAATTCAATTGATTGGATATGATTTGGAAAGGTACACACACACACACCTGTCTATATAAGGTCCATGAGGTCGAAGGAATTGTCCGTAGAGCTCAGAGACAGCATTGTGTCGAGGCACTGATCCAGGGAAGGGTACCAAACATTTCTGCAGCATTGAAGGTCCAAGAACACAGTGGCCTCCATCAACCACCAAGACTCTTCCTAGAGCTGGCCGCCCAGCCAAACTGAGCAATTGGGGGAGAAGGGCCTTGGTCAGGGAGGTGACCAAGAACCCGACGGTCACTCTGACAGAGCTCCAGATTTCCTCTGTGGAGATGGGAGAAACTTCCAGAAGCACAACCATCTCTGCAGCACTCCACCAATCAGGCCTTTATGGTAGGTTGGCCAGATGGAAGCCACTCCTCAGTAAAAGTCACATGACAGCCCGCTTGTAGTTTGCCAAAATGCACCTAAAGACTCTCAGACTGATGAAACCAAGATTGAACTCTTTGGCCTGAATGCCAAGCGTCACGTCTGGAGGAAACCTAGCACCATCCCTACGGTGAAGCATGGTGGTGGCAGCATCATGCTGTGGGGATTTTTCAGCGGCAGGGACTGAGAGACTAGTCAGGATCGAGGGAAATATGAACGGAGCAAAGTACAGGGAGATCCTTGATGAAAACCTGCTCCAGAGCGCTCAGGACCTCAGACTGGGGTGAAGGTTCACCTTCCAACAGGTCAACGACCCTACGCACGCAGCCAAGACAACGCAGGAGAGGCTTTGGGACAAGTCTCTGAATCTCCTTGAGTAGCCCAGCCAAAGCCCAGACTTGAACCCGATCGAACATCTCTGGAGAGAACTGAAAATAGCTGTGCAGCGACGCTCCCCATCCAACCTGCCAGAGCTTGAGAGGATCTGCAGAGAAGAATGGAAGAAACTCCCCAAATACAGGTGTGCCAAGCTTGTAGTGTCATACGGGTGGCAGGTAGCTTAGTGGTTAAGAGCGTTGTGCCAGTAACCGAAAGGTTGCTGGTTCTAATCCCCGAGCCGACTAGGTGAAAAATCTGTCGATGTGCCCTTGAGCAAGGCACTTAACCCTAATTGCTCCTGTAAGTCGCTCTGGATAAGAGCGTCTGCTAAATGACTAAAAAAAAAGTTAAAAAATAATAATAATACTCAAGAAGATTTGAGGGTGTAATCGCTGCCAAAGGTTCTTCAACAAAGTACTGAGTAAAGGGTCTGAATACTTATGTAAATGTGATATTTCCATTATTATTTTTTTATATACATTTCCAAAAATGTCTAAAAACCTGGGGTATTGTGTGTAGATTATGGGGTATTGTGTGTAGATTGATGAGGGAAATAAACAATTTAATCTATTTTAGAATAAGGCTGTAACGTAACAAAATGTGGAAAAAGTCAAGGGGTCTGAATACTTTCCGAATGCACTGTATATATACACAAACTGTAGTAAGTTAGTAGTATATATATACAGTGGGGAGAACAAGTATTTGATACACTGCCGATTTTGCAGGTTTTCCTACTTACAAAGCATGTAGAGGTCTGTAATTTTTATCATAGGTACACTTCAACTGTGAGAGACGGAATCTAAAACAAAAATCCAGAAAATCACATTGTATGATTAAGTACTTAATTTGCATTTTATTGCATGACATAAGTATTTGATACATCAGAAAAGCAGAACTTAATATTTGGTACAGAAACCTTTGTTTGCAATTACAGAGATCATACGTTTCCTGTAGGTCTTGACCAGGTTTGCACACACTGCAGCAGGGATTTTGGCCCACTCCTCCATACAGACCTTCTCCAGATCCTTCAGGTTTCGGGGCTGTCGCTGGGCAATACGGACTTTCAGCTCCCTCCAAAGATTTTCTATTGGGTTCAGGTCTGGAGACTGGCTAGGCCACTCCAGGACCTTGAGATGCTTCTTACGGAGCCACTCCTTAGTTGCCCTGGCTGTGTGTTTCGGGTCGTGTCATGCTGGAAGACCCAGCCACGACCCATCTTATAATAACATAATAATATGCCATTTCAGCAGACGCTTTTATCCAAAGCGACTTACAGTCATGCGTGCATACATTTATTTTATTTTTTTGTGTATGGGTGGTCCCGGGGATCGAACCCACTACCTTAGCGTTACAAGCACCGTGCTCTACCAGCTGAGCTACAGAGGACCACAGAGGATCTTCAATGCTCTTACTGAGGGAAGGAGGTTGTTGGCAAAGATCTCACGATACATGGCCCCATCCATCCTCCCCTCAATACGGTGCAGTCATCCTGTCCCCTTTGCAGAAAAGCATCCCCAAAGAATGATGTTTCCACCGCCATGCTTCACGGTTGGGATGGTGTTCTTGGGGTTGTACTCATCCTTCTTCTTCCTCCAAACACGGCGAGTGGAGTTTAGACCAAAAAGCTATATTTTTGTCTCATCAGACCACATGACCTTCTCCCATTCCTCCTCTGGATCATGCAGATGGTCATTGGCAAACTTCAGACGGGCCTGGACATGCGCTGGCTTGAGTAGGGGGACCTTGCGTGCGCTGCAGGATTTTAATCCATGACGGCGTAGTGTGTTACTAATGGTTTTCTTTGAGACTGTGGTCCAAGCTCTCTTCAGGTCATTGACCAGGTCCTGCCGTGTAGTTCTGGGCTGATCCCTCACCTTCCTCATGATCATTGATGCCCCACGAGGTGAGATCTTGCATGGAGCCCCAGACCGAGGGTGATTGACCGTCATCTTGAACTTCTTCCATTTTCTAATAATTGTGCCAACAGTTGTTGCCTTCTCACCAAGCTGCTTGCCTATTGTCCTGTAGCCCATCCCAGCCTTGTGCAGGTCTACAATTGTATCCCTGATGTCCTTACACAGCTCTCTGGTCTTGGCCATTGTGGAGAGGTTGGAGTCTGTTTTATTGAGTGTGTGGACAGGTGTCTTTTATACAGGTAACGAGTTCAAACAGGTGCAGTTAATACAGGTAATGAGTGGAGAACAGGAGGGCTTCTTAAAGAAAAAATAACAGGTCTGTCAGAGCTGGAATTCTTACTGGTTGGTAGGTGATCAAATACTTATGTCATGCAATAAAATGCAAATGAATTACTTAAAAATCATAAAATGTGATTTTCTGGATTTTTGTTTTAGATTCCGTCTCTCACAGTTGAAGTGTACCTATGATGAAAAATTACAGACCTCTACATGCTTTGTAAGTAGGAAAACCTGCAAAATCGGCAGTGTATCAAATACTTGTTCTCCCCACTGTGTATACACACACACACACACACACACACACACACACAGTTGTGGAAAAAATTAAGAGACCACTGCAAATGTTTCTTAAATCAGCATCTCTACATGTATGACAGCCATTCCATTCCAGCGTCTGTTGAATTCCAACACAGGCACACATCATTCTACTGAATTAGGTACTGATTAGGTGATCACATGAACCAAATCTTATTTAACGAGGAAAAGTATAAAAACCACTGCTGTGGTCATCACTATAATCTTGCAATAGGACCAGCTGGATGGCAAAAACAGTGCTAATAGTACCTCAAAAGTAATATTAATCAAAAAATAACTATTGACCATGCCAAAAGAGTTGAAAGGAAAGTTGAGTGAGGAAAAGAAGGGTTCAATTCTGGCTTTACTGGCAGAGGGATACAGTGAGTGTCAGGTTGCTTCCATCCTTAAAATTTCAAAGACAGTGGTTCATAAGAACAAGGTCAAGCAGCAGACATTGGGGACAACAAAGCTACAGACCGGCAGAGGGCGAAAACGACTCTACTGACCGGGATGACCGCCAACTCATTTGAATGTCACTCAACAACTGTAGGATGACATCAAGTGACCTACAAAAAGAATGGCAAACGGCAGCTGGGGTGAAGTGTACGGCGAGGACGGTTCGAAACAGGCTCCTAGGAGCAGGGCTGAAGTCGTGCAAAGCTAGAAAAAATCCCTTCATCAATGAGAAGCAAAGAAGAGCCAGGCTGAGGTTTGCAAAAGACCATAAGGATTGGACCGTAGAGGACTGGAGTAAGGTCATCTTCTCTGATGAGTCCAATTTTCAGCTTTGCCCAACACCTGGTCGTCTAATGGTTAGACGGAGACCTGGAGAGGCCTACAAGCCACAACGTCTCGCACCCACTGTGAAATTTGGTGGAGGATCGGTGATGATCTGGGGGTGCTTCAGCAAGGCTGGAATCGGGCAGATTTGTCTTTGTGAAGGACGCATGAATCAAGCCACGTACAAGGTTGTCCTGGATGAAAACTTGCTTCCTTTTGCTCTGACATTGTTCCCCAACTCGGAGGATTGGTTTTTCCAGCAGGACAATGCGCCATGCCACACAGCCAGGTCAATCAAGGTGTGGATGGAGGACCACCAGATCAAGACCCTGTCATGGCCAGCCCAATCTCCAGACCTGAACCCCATTGAAAACTTCTGGAATGTGATCAAGAGGAAGATGGATGGTCACAAGCCATCAAACAAAGCCGAGCTGCTTGAATTTTTGCGCCAGGAGTGGCATAAAGTCACCCAACATCAATGTGAAAGACTGGTGGAGAGCATGCCAAGACGCATGAAAGCTGTGATTGAAAATTAGGGTTATTCCACCAAATATTGATTTCTGAACTCTTCTTAAGTTAAAACATTAGTATTGTGTTGTTTAAAAATGAACATGAACTTATTTTCTTTGCATTATTCGAGGTCTGACAACACTGCATATTTTTTGTTATTTTGACCAGATGTAATTTTCTGCAAATAAATGCTCTAAATGACAATATTTCTATTTGGAATTTGGGAGAAATGTTGTCAGTAGTTCATAGAATAAAACAAAAATGTTATTTTTACCCAAAAACATACCTATAAATAGTAAAACCAGAGAAACTGATAATTTTGTAGTGGTCTCTTAATATTTTCCGCGGATGTATGTATGTATGTATGTATGTATGTATGTATGTATGTATGTATGTATGTATGTATGTATGTATGTATGTATGTATGTATGTATGTATGTATGTATGTATGTATATACACACACACACACACACACACACACACTGTAGTAAGTGCCTCCTGTCCTGTGTAGACAGACCCGAGCCAGACTAACTAGCAGTCTTACTGGAGGAGTTGATGAGGTGTCGGAGCACGGCCAGGGAGCCCATGCGGTTCCTCTCATTACTGTTCTCCAGTTTCTGAAGCACAAACATGATCAGCCGGTCTGGGAAGGTGTTGGCTGCGGAGGAAGGAAGCGTACGGCACAGAGTCAGACGAGTGCGTAAACACATTTACCCCGGAGTGAAGTCACACCATCTAAAATCTAATCATGAATTATCTCATTACAGGAGGACATGGTGTCCATCATGTAGTTTCCCTGCAGCAGCTCCAAGTTCTAAAATAACAAAGACTTTGTTCACAACGGCACCCTATTCCCTTTATAGTGCACTACTTTTCACCAGGACTCATAGGGTTCCGGTCAAAAGTAGTGCACTATATAGAGAGTAGGGTGCCACTTGAGACACAGACAGAGTTTAGTATTGGTTGAAGAGGGAAAACAGTCTGGAACTCTGAACATAGTACTGTACTAGGCCTATATACCATATATGTACAGTGAGGGAAAAAAGTATTTGATCCCCTGCTGATTTTGTACGTTTGCCCACTGACAAAGAAATGATCAGTCTATAATTTTAATGGTAGGTTTATTTGAACAGTGAGAGACAGAATAATAACAAAATAATCCCGAAAAACGCATGTTAACATTTTTATAAATTGATTAGCATTTTAATGAGGGAAATAAGTATTTGACCCCCTCTCAATCATAAAGATTTCTGGCTCCCAGGTGTCTTTTATACAGGTAACGAGCTGAGATTAGGAGCACACTCTTAAAGGGAGTGCTCCTAATCTCAGTTTGTTACCTGTATAAAAGACACCTGTCCACAGAAGCAATCAATCAATCAGATTCCAAACTCTCCACCATGGCCAAGACCAAAGAGCTCTCCAAGGATGTCAGGGACAAGATTGTAGACCTACACAAGGCTGGAATGGGCTACAAGACCATCGCCAAGCAGCTTGGTGAGAAGGTGACAACAGTTGGTGCGATTATTCGCAAATGGAAGAAACACAAAATAACTGTCAATCTCCCTCGGCCTGGAGCTCCATGCAAGATCTCACCTCGTGGAGTTGCAATGATCATGAGAACGGTGAGGAATCAGCCCAGAACTACACGGGAGGATCTTGTCAATGATCTCAAGGCAGCTGGGACCATAGTCACCAAGAAAACAATTGGTAGCACACTACACCGTGAAGGACTGAAATACTGCAGCGCCCGCAAGGTCCCACTGCTCAAGAAAGCACATATACAGGCCCGTCTGAAGTTTGCCAATGAACATCTGAATGATTCAGAGGAGAACTGGGTGAAAGTGTTGTGGTCAGATGAGACCAAAATCAAGCTCTTTGGCATCAACTCAACTCGCCGTGTTTGGAGGAGGAGGAACGCTGCCTATGACCCCAAGAACACCATCAAATATGGAGGTGGAAACATTATGCTTTAGGGGTGTTTTTCTGCTAAGGGGACAGGACAACTTCACCGCATCAAAGGGACGATGGACAGGGCCATGTACCGTCAAATCTTGGGTGAGAACCTCCTTCCCTCAGCCAGGGCATTGAAAATTGCTCATGGATGGGTATTCCAGCATGACAATGACCCAAAACACACGGCCAAGGCAACAAAGGAGTGGCTCAAGAAGAGGCACATTAAGGTCCTGGAGTGGCCTAGCCAGTCTCCAGACCTTAATCCCATAGAAAATCTGTGGAGGGAGCTGAAGGTTCGAGTTGCCAAACGTCAGCCTTGAAACCTTAATGACTTGGAAAAGATCTGCAAAGAGGAGTGGGACAAAATCCCTCCTGAGATGTGTGCAAACCTGGTGGCCAACTACAAGAAACGTCTGACCTCTGTGATTGCCAACAAGGGTTTTGCCACCAAGTACTAAGTCATGTTTAGCAGAGGGGTCAAATACTTATTTCCCTCATTAAAATGCAAATCAATTTATAACATTTTTGACATGCGTTTTTCTGGATTTTTTTGTTGTTATTCTGTCTCTCACTGTTCAAATAAACCTACCATTAAAATTATAGACTGATCATGTCTTTGTCAATGGGCAAACGTACAAAATCAGCAGGGGATCAAATACTTTTCTCCCTCACTGTAGGTAACAGCACCAATTAATACTGGTATTCTACAATTCCATTATCAGTTTTATATTATAAACTGGGTGGTTCGTGCCCTGAATGCTGATTGGCTGACAAATATATCAGACCATATACCACGGGTATGACAAAACATTTATTTTTACTGCTCTAATTACATTGGTAACCAGTGTATAATAGCAATAAGGCACCTCTGGGGTTTGTAGTATATGGCCAATATACCACGGCTAAGGGCTGTATCCAGGCAATCCACGTTGCGTCGTACGTAACAACAGCCCTTAGCCATGGTATATCGGCCATATACCACACCCCCTTGGACCTTACTGCTTAATTATACAATGTAATGGAAATTACCCAGATCATCTGAAAATGTATATAGGCCCAGAGAGTAATATTTAGACGCAAGCACACAGTCCAAACAGTGATGACCGGCCCCTCATTAAATCCTTCTACACGTTGCAGCCAAAGGTCTTCAAGCCCAACTCCATAACTTGGAAGAGCAGTAAAAGTCAGACGTTTGGCATATTGCTACAGCAGCAGTGTGTCTGTGTGGCAGGGGGACTTTAATCCCTCCCTCCCCAACAGGCAGCAACATGACTACTGGATTACAACAACACACACTGGTCCACTGACTGGACTAACAAAGACCAGGTCAAGGTGCCTGTTCTAGAACCTTCAGATATAAAATATATTGGGTAGAACAGTTGTGATTGTCATGTAGAATAAGGAATCGTTCAATGCGTTTCTATCTGCAACATTTACTTCATTGACTACAACCCTGACCTCTCAATCTAATAAACCCAGAGACAAAACACACACACGCATTATTGAAGAACAGAAAACCAACCTAGTATGCTGAAGCATCTTAATACCTCGTTGTGATTTTTCACCGTCGGTGGGTTGCTGTAGTCAACAGGTGCGCAAACCTGGAGGGAGCGCAAAATGAGAATTACTGTACATGAAGGTACAAGAACTCTTATTCATACTAATCAACCAATCCATATTGAAAAGTATGTTTGTTCTTGATTCAATCTAACTGATGTTGACTTAAGTGCAATCAAACCAACGCATCGTGGCCATTTCAAAGTCAGTGGATTGGCATAGGGTGAGTCACAAACAATGTGACTACAACAGGAAGTGATTTATTATGCATCCTGACAACAGGAAGTGATTTATTATGTATCCTGACAACAGGAAGTGATTTATTATGTATCCTGACAACAGGAAGTGATTTATTATGTATCCTGACAACAGGAAGTGATTTATTATGTATCCTGACAACAGGAAGTGATTTATTATGTATCCTGTCATTGAGAACCATTATAGTCAGTCTCTAGTATGACTAGCTGTGTTAAATACAGAAAAACATCCTATTGTCATTGAGCAAACAGCCCAGGCGGAGTGACAGAATGTGTTGTAAGAAGCCTGTGTGTTCCAAGGTAGTACTTTCAAATCAAATGTTATTAGTTACATACACAGTTTACAGCATGTGTAAAAGGTGCAGTGAAATGCTTGCTTGCTAGCTCCTTCAACATCGCAGTACAATCATCTGCTTTTAATTTGTTTGTACCTTACTTGTGGAATAATCTCCAAGGCTCTCTAAAAATGGATGAATTGGTGCCTCTAGGGCAATTCTAAAGGCTGATTGAGGACCTTTTTCATGAAGGATGTGTTTGTTTTCTGTGATTGTGTTTTGCTTTTCATGTATGTGATGTGTATAGTGATGTGTGGAATGTGTATTGATGTGTATAGTGATGTGTGGAATGTGTATTGATGTGTATAGTGATGTGTAGAATGTGTATTGATGTGTATAGTGATGTGTAGAATGTGTATAGTGATGAGTATAATTGTGTATTGATGTGTATAGTGATGTGTATAATGTGTATTGATGTGTATACAGGGCTCCTCTGAAAAAGACACCTTGGTCTCAGGATGACTCCCTGTCAAAATAAAGGTTAAATAAATGAAAAATCTATAATCAATCATTTAAAAAAAGTATATATAAAATAAAGTTAGAAGAATGCAGTCGTGTTCATATGTTGTCAGTGTACTGTACTGTCACTTTGCCGTACCTGCTGGTGTAGAGTAGTGAGCAGGCTGTCGATCTGCGTCTCCAGAACTCTGCTGCCCATGTTCACAGAAGCATCCAGAACTTGACACAGGCTCTGCAGGGGAGGTGAAATCAACATGAGCTGATTAGTGAGCAGAGCGGACAGTGTTGGGAAACGGACTAAAACACTGCTACAGGACTGATGAATGACATTGAGAGTAAGACTCCATTAAATAAGTAATTTAAGTCCCAATCAACATAAATACCATAGTGGCAGACTGTGGAGTACCCTGGTCTAGCTTAAATCACTACATCAACATAAATACCATAGTGGCAGACTGCGGAGTACCCTGGTCTAGCTTAAATCACTACATCAACATAAATACCATAGTGGCAGACTGCGGAGTACCCTGGTCTAGCTTAAATCACTACATCAACATAAATACCATAGTGGCAGACTGCGGAGTACCCTGGTCTAGCTTAAATCACTACATCAACATAAATACCATAGTGGCAGACTGCGGAGTACCCTGGTCTAGCTTAAATCACTACATCAACATAAATACCATAGTGGCAGACTGCGGAGTACCCTGGTCTAGCTTAAATCACTACATCAACATAAATACCATAGTGGCAGACTGCAGAGTACCCTGGTCTAGCTAAAATCACTACATCAACATAAATACCATAGTGGCAGACTGCAGAGTACCCTGGTCTATCATAAATCACTACATCAACATAAATACCATAGTGGCAGACTGCAGAGTACCCTGGTCCATCTTTAATCACTATATCAACATAAATACCATAGTGGCAGACTGCAGAGTACCCTGGTCTATCGTTAATCACTATATCAACATAAATACCATAGTGGCAGACTGCAGAGTACCCTGGTCTAGATTTAATCACTACATCAACATAAATACCATAGTGCCCGACTTCAGACGAGGGTACTCTGCATCGGTATGTGCTTCAGTCAACGCCACAGCTAACTATCATTGTTATGCCAAGAAAACCAGAAAATTAGATGTCTTGGCATGAGAATATGACAAGCATACCGGTATGGGCCTACCTGTTTGACATGACAAGCATACCTGTATGGGCCTACCTGTATGGGCCTACCTGTATGGGCCTACCTGTATGGGCCTACCTGTTTGACATGACACTGCCAGGTCAGAAGAGTTAGCTAAACTATTACACACAGATCTGGACCAGGCAAACTGCTGAACTCTCTGAGTGCCTCCCATCTGGCACTCTATTCCCTATATAGAACACCAGCAGCAGTCATTAGAGGCCTACCTACCTTACTGATGACGTAATGCTCGGTGTTCTTCTTGTACAGGGAGAGGATTGTGGGAATGAGTTTGGGAAGCTGCTCCTCCAGTTTATCATGGGCCATCAGGTGACTCATAGATCCCACTGCTTCTGCCACTGTTAGTCGTAGCTACAGCCCCAGCCAGGTAGAGAAAAACAACAGTTAGTCGTAGCTACAGCCCCAGCCAGGTAGAGAAAAACAACAGTTAGTCGTAGCTACAGCCCCAGCCAGGTAGAGAAAAACACCAGTTAGTCGTAGCTACAGCCACAGCCAGGTAGAGAAAAACACCAGTTAGTCGTAGCTACAGCCCCAGCCAGGTAGAGAAAAACACCAGTTAGTCGTAGCTACAGCCCCAGCCAGGTAGAGAAAAACAACAGTTAGTCGTAGCTACAGCCCCAGCCAGGTAGAGAAAAACACCAGTTAGTCGTAGCTACAGCCACAGCCAGGTAGAGAAAAACACCAGTTAGTCGTAGCTACAGCCCCAGCCAGGTAGAGAAAAACAACAGTTAGTCGTAGCTACAGCCACAGCCAGGTAGAGAAAAACACCAGTTAGTCGTAGCTACAGCCCCAGCCAGGTAGAGAAAAACACCAGTTAGTCGTAGCTACAGCCCCAGCCAGGTAGAGAAAAACACCACTAAGACTGGGTCTATTCTCTACAGTGTACTATTTTTGACCAGATCTAGCAGCATCAGTTTTCACCAGAACCCTGTGGGCCCTGGCCAAAAGCAGTGCACTCTATAGGGAACAGGGTTCTATGGGCCCTGGCCAAAAGCAGTGCACTCTATAGGGAACAGGGTTCTATGGGTCCTGGCCAAAAGCAGTGCACTCTATAGGGAACAGGGTTCTATGGGCCCTGGCCAAAAGCAGTGCACTCTATAGGGAACAGGGTTCTATGGGCCCTGGCCAAAAGCAGTGCACTCTATAGGGAACAGGGTTCTATGGGTCCTGGCCAAAAGCAGTGCACTCTATAGGGAACAGGGTTCTATGGGCCCTGGCCAAAAGCAGTGCACTCTATAGGGAACAGGGTTCTATGGGCCCTGGCCAAAAGCAGTGCACTCTATAGGGAACAGGGTTCTATGGGCCCTGGCCAAAAGCAGTGCACTCTATAGGGAACAGGGTTCTATGGGTCCTGGCCAAAAGCAGTGCACTCTATAGGGAACAGGGTTCTATGGGCCCTGGCCAAAAGCAGTGCACTCTATAGGGAACAGGGTTCTATGGGTCCTGGCCAAAAGCAGTGCACTCTATAGGGAACAGGGTTCTATGGGCCCTGGCCAAAAGCAGTGCACTCTATAGGGAACAGGGTTCTATGGGCCCTGGCCAAAAGCAGTGCACTCTATAGGGAACAGGGTTCTATGGGCCCTGGCCAAAAGCAGTGCACTCTATAGGGAACAGGGTTCTATGGGCCCTGGCCAAAAGCAGTGCACTCTATAGGGAACAGGGTTCTATGGGCCCTGGCCAAAAGCAGTGCACTCTATAGGGAACAGGGTTCTATGGGCCCTGGCCAAAAGCAGTGCACTCTATAGGGAACAGGGTTCTATGGGCCCTGGCCAAAAGCAGTGCACTCTATAGGGAACAGGGGTGTCAAACTCATTCCATGGAGGGCCTAGAGTCTGCGGGTTTTTGGTTTTTCCTCTCAAGACCTCGACAACCAGGTGAAGAGTTATTTCCTAATGAGTGACCTTAAATTCATCAATCAAGTACAAGGGAGGAGCGAAATCCTGCAGAAACTCGGCGCTCCGTGGAATGAGTTTGACACGTGATATAGGGAATATGAAGCCATTTGGGACACAGCCAATCACTGGAAAAACGTTTTAATCAACTGAGTTCACATCTAACTGAAGCAGAAATATTTTTATTAATGCGGGTGCAGAGACGGGGAGTAATCTGACTTTTGGCATTCTCTAAAATAAAGACAGCAGCAGTTATGTTGCAGTTGCTCTGTGGTTAATCATTTCAAAACCAAAATGGAGGAATGCAGAGTTTATGACCAGATTACAGATAAGGGACTATTTATTTTCCACAAGCCTAGACTGACTTCTACTGTGGTTTATGTCCTCTACTCAGAAACCTCAAGAAAACCTTTCTACATAACCTTGCAGAGAATTAACCAGGCAAATATGTCCAGGAAACTCTCCTAAATGTCTGAAATCATCTGATATCAATCATTGACCTGACTCTGGCTGTAGACCTCTCCCTTCTCTTCCCTATAATACCAGCACACAGTCAAAGGGGTTGCTTTCATCATGATATCCCTACAACAGAGGGACGGTTGAGACAGAAATGTAATTAGGACAAATTGGTTTCGTGCTCCTCCTAATGTAATGTGGTGTACCTTGGATTCCCTGCTCTGGAGCCAGTTGCAGTAGAGGATGTCGTAAGCTGCGTAGATCTCGCTGGAGAACGTGTCCTTTCTCACAGTCGGGTCAGGAGCTTTGTCCAGGTTGGCTAGGTACTCCAGGATGCTCTCACTGAAGTGGGACAGAGCTGGGAGAAGGAAAGAGAGAGACAGAGACAGAAAGAGAGAGACAGCGAGAGAGAGAGCGAGAGCGAGAGACACAGAGAGAGACAGAGAGAGAGAGACAGAGAGACAGATGGTAATCCCATTTCCACTACTTCTATTATTATTGCTGTTGGTCCCACCATTTTTGTTATATGTATACTTTGACAATGTAAGTAATTTAACTTGCCATGTCAATAAAGTCTATTGAATGAAATTGACAGAGAGAGACAGTGACAGAGACGGAGAGCGAGAGAGAGAGAGAGAGAGAGAGACAGAGAGAGAGAGAGACAGAGAGACAGAGGTCTATAGGCTGGGTCTGGTAATGTATGTTTAATCATGTATAATAATGCTACAGTATGTTGGCTACAGTGCATCTACTCCTACCAGAGGAGAACACCCACTTCATGTTGTCCTGCTTGGCCATGCCCAGCATTGGGAGCATGGTGCCCAAGATGGCATTGAGAAATGGCACCATACCATAAACTGTCAACAAAAGTAAGATTAGAGGTTAGACTCTACCGCTATTACACTGCCAAGAGATATCTAGAAACAATTTGAAAAACACTGAGGGGGAATAGTCTTGATCTGTAAAATCACAAACAAAGGCTTCTCAGAAGCTAGGTGACAGGATGTAAAGGATCCGTTAGCAGCCTTTTAGGCAGCTTTATACTGTGCGCTTGACACCATTGTGTATGGTGTTTGCCTACCATTGGATTCAGAGAGGCTTGCTAATGTTTGGACCACAAAGAAATGAGGCAGGACCCCTGGCTGGAACTTGCTGAGGATTTCCTCCATGATGTCATTGATGTACTTGTTTCCCACAGCAACCAGAATATTGCTGGCTGCCTGTTGCCAATCAGGTACAACATCCTGTAAAAACATGAAAACTGAGCTGTTGAATCAAACCCTAGGCCATACTTTTTGTATTGTATACATGAGAACAAACAGATACTGTTCAGTGTTCAGATTGATGCAATGGCCTCTATGTTAGAATAACCATTGATAAATCCAGTACTTTGTCAGAGGAATAACTAGATTACGTGCAATATTAGGCTAAAAGCACAAAGTTGGTAATTGAATTTCTATATTTCAGATCAGACCAGAATAACTAAATCATCAGAAACAATCTTACCTTTGATCGGGTCATTTCATCAGAGGCCAAAGAAATGATGCTTTTGATTTTCGGGTAACTGATGTCCTCTATCTTGGTCTTCACAATTAGCTCAATCGTCTGCAGTATAACAACTCTGTGCCCAACTACAAGCTGCAGGAAAATAAGGTTAAATTGTAATTCACTTCAAACACAGGCCTTAAGTCAACATGCATTAATGTCAACACGGTGGACCTGTATGAAAAGTCTCTCCCATACAGTATATTTCATAATCTCTTTTGTATTCATATCATTGGAGTAGCACATGCAGAGTCACAGTCTTCAGAGAAGTGATAAGGTCTCCAGCTTCTGGCAGGATGTGTGTTAATTCTTCATGTTAGACCATATCACATCCTAATGCAATCTTCTATTATTTCTCATTGTTGTTGCATTGTCGAGAAGGAACCTGCAAGTAAGCATTTCCTTTGACGATGTATACCATGCGTATCCCATGCATACGACTAATAAAACTTGAAACCTTCTCTCTAGCATTGTGATGGAAATCTGCAGCACAGAGCAGCATTGGTGCTGTCTGAAATTGCCATTGCATCAGAGGGCTATGGTCACACAGTACAGTAGCTTTCTTCTCATAACCAAGAACCCTTTCACTTCTCATTTGCAATGTTCTGAGAGTGAAAGTTACATCAAAAATGGTGACAGGACAGATAAATGGCTGAATTTAAGAGGGACGACACCTCTAAAACAGAACTAGAAATCTATGCTGTTCTTTCAAGTACAATGGAAACAATATAATATAATTATATTGTTAGCCAGGCAAGGTAACGCAGAACAGCTTTTACCTGGCCAGCATTGAGCCCCACCTACCTCATCACAAATACAGACAGACACAGATAGCCTACACACATAGGCCACATTCACTGCCACACATCACGTTCTGCAGAAATTGCTAATGAGTCTGGGGGATTTCTACTATAGTGTTCCAGTCACAGCTCCACACAGTAGTTAATCAACAGTCAGAAGCAGTAGTAGTAGTGGTGGTAGTGTCTGACCTTGGGGTGTTTGACCAGGTAGTCCTGGCACATGGACAGGACCTTGTTAGGCTGCTGCTTCCCCAGGGTCAGTATGGACTTCCTGACCTGCTCCCTGACCACCGGGTCCTTGTCATTGGCTGAATCCAGCAGGGCCAGGGTCACCTCTGGTGGGGAGAGAACACAGCAGGGTAGACATGGAGGAGTGAGAGAATACAGGATAGACGGGGAGGAGTGAGAGAATACAGGATAGACGGGGAGGAGTGAGAGAATACAGGATAGACGGGGAGGAGTGAGAGAATACAGGATAGACGGGGAGGAGTGAGAGAATACAGGATAGACAGGGAGGAGTGAGACACAAATGAGACCTGGGTTCTATACATTCCACCAAACAGTTGCAAAACGAGAGTTTCTATTGGACAAATTCAGGTAGGTCTCTCACTGTTTCGCTTCCAATTAAGAAACAGTTTAACAGAATCACCATTCGCTAGGGCAGAATGTTGTGGAACACTCAGATAAAATATAAATATATTGTGTAGATTATGCCTCTCTGACCAAAAACAAATAATTATGCAAGGGATAGCCCATATCAAGAGGCAATGGCATAAGGACATGAAGATGAATAAAGGTCACTCACGCTCCACGTCTGACTCCTCCATAGCGCCTGTCTGAAGGCTGGGACTGGAGATATTTAGGATTTCATGTGGTGGTTCGAAGGGTTAAAACGTGTTAATCTGGTTTTACCACACTGCAAAGAAAGAAAACATGCATGCATTGACATGTCAAAGTATGTAGCCTATGGTAATAGTAGGGCGAATAGATAGAACGCCAACACAATGTGATTGTTATTTATGTGCTTAAAACGGTGCAATCTCCATCATATTCTCACTGGCAATGATGCGCAGTAACATCATGACTAGCTCAGTTGCATCACTTTATGTGGCAACTTTAAGACTAGCGCAAATAGCCACATCACATGTCCTATGCTGGATACAAACAAACTGAATTGCAACAGACAGTGGCAGTGCATGACAAAGTAAAACAACTTAACTAGCTATCAAATGGTAACAAGCCGGACCCTGAAAACAGTCAGAGAGAAGTGCAGCACTTCCTTGTCAGACCAAGACCTGTTTTTCTTGGTTGGGATATTACTGTAGCTAAATGAGCTATTCCACATGGTCTCCGCTGGTATGTGGTTAATAGCATGGATGTTGTCAATATGCTATAATTGAATACGTGAAATGTCATCGACCTAAATTGTCCATTGCTACAGGTGACAGCTAGCCAGCTCTGTTTCGGACTGAGCCAGAAGGGCAAACTCTGTAACAGAGTTAGCTAGCTGTCACCAGTAGCAATGGACAATGTAGGTCGATGACATTTCACGTATTCAATTATAGTATATTGATAACATCCATATTGTTAACCACATTTGGAATGACGATTAGAACGTCGTTAAATGCAGCAAAGTCGGCTCCCCACCTTTCGAACAACCCGTCTGGCAGACTGGCTCGCTTGTTAGCTAACTAGCTAGCAAGCTAGCTACACACAAATGCAAGGATGAACCTCCTCACGCGCAGTAATCCAGTGAAGATGTGATGTATGTTGTCCGATACTTATCTAACTAACTGTCTTTCAATGTGATTTTGTCATTTTTCCTCAATGCAAAGAGAGACACTTGTTAGCATCCACTAGCTAGATTAGCTCTATGCCACTGCAACGCATCGCAGGTAAACACGCCTAATCATGTGCTTCGAGTCAGTGTGGGCGTGACTTCGACAGGAGTTGAGCTGATTCAATGATTCTTATACATGTGATAGATCACTGACTGGACATCACGAGGTACGTGAGATTTCACTTTTCTGTACATGTTGCAACTTTATAGCCATAGGAAAGTAATGTGTTTTTGTGTTATGACTTGAAATACTTTTGACAATGTGGACTAGCTACATCACATTATCTATGTTTTTCTATTGAATTTCTATTTTCTATCCAACAATTACAGCAATAATACCCATATTACGCAGGAGGTTGGTGTCACCTTAATTGGGAAGGACGGGCTCGTGGTAATGGCTGGAGCAAAATAAGGGGCGGCAGGTAGCTTAGTGGTTAAGAGCGTTGTGCCAGTAACCGAAAGGTCGCTGGTTCTAATCCCCGAGCCGACTAGGTGAAAAATCTGTCGATGTGCCCTTGAGCAACACTTAACCCTAATTGCTCTTGTAAATCGGTCTGGATAAGAGCGTCTGCTAAATGACTAAAAGAAAATAAGGTATCAAATATGTCAAAACCCATGGTTTCCGTGTGTTTGATGCCATTCCAGCCATTGTTAAGAGCTGTCCTCCCCGCAGCAGCCTCCTGTGCCATCTTGGCTATTTGACATCTCTTGCTGATGGTAATAACAACAAGCAACTGGGACTTGGACAGACCTGGAAAACTGCACTAGGGGGAGCCAGTCAGTTGGACTAGGCCCCTATATTTACCTGCTTCCAATGCACTCCAGCGAGAGGCCGAGGCACATTACCCTCACCTGCAAAAACACCAGCACAACCTGACAAATGTTTTCAATAAGCTCTTAGTGATGACAACATCAGCACCACTATTCAAATCAAAAAGATCATGGCATCATGGTCGCTCCAATGGTTTATGGTTAAGGACATTTGGATCCAAGGTAGGCCAATAAATAGTCAAGGCATACCCTAACTGCATTCTGTGGAACTCATAATGAAACTACCCTTCTTTCTTGAAACCTTTGGAAATTGGAGAGGCAGAACAACCAAGGGTTTCATTATGAGTGTAGTGAATCACGTTTGCCTCTGTTCAAGGTGCAATGCCATATCCATCATGATAAATTCATGAGTCATGTTGCTATACGCATGGTAAATAAACAGAACTTACTTCCTCTCTTTCTCAACTATTAGGGTTCCGTCCCAAATTGCATCCTATTCCCTTTATCCCTCCCTATTCCCCAGAGGGCTCTGGTCAAACGTTGTGCACTATATAGGGGGTAGGGTGCCATTTGGGACGCTCAGTCAAGGTAAATAAATGAGTCACTTTGTTTTACGCGTGATGAATGTATAAACACAACTTCCTTTCTCTCTTTCTCAACTATTAAGCCTATTGAAAGTCAAACAGGATGCATGTGATATTACATCCCATGACTTCTATTCAATGTGGCACAAGTCTAACGTAAGAATTCATCAGCATGAACTAAACCCAACGTCTAAACCCAACAATGTCTCTTAACTATTCGATCAACTTAGACAGTTATTAGGGAGAGATATTTACTGTAGGGGCGGGGTTGGTCCAACTCAAGGTTTCATTTTAAAAAATGCACCCCTCTCCCTAAAGTTATAAATATTTTCACATGACCCTCCCCTTGTACTGTAAAATAAATTGAACACCCTCCCCCTTCTTAAAATTTACTCAAAATAATGTTTACGACCACAAATAACAATAAATGTAGTGACCCTGTGTTTATAACCGTGGATATCGACTTTTCGACCAATTCAGCATGCTTTTGTGACACAGTCGATGCCACGCAGGTATACGGGCCAGAAAGTTTTGGGTTCGCCGACCAACACAGAGGAGTTCACTGTCCCTGCCTTTTTTATTACACTACGATCAGAGCCGGCTGCAGACAATGATCAGCTAGAGGGAAATCAGATTTTCAACATTTTGATGCCATATTTATAATTATATAAAATATATGCAAAGAACTTTCCACAAAACAGGTTTCTGTGCCAATCAATCAATCAATCAATCAATCAAATGTATTTATAAAGCCCTTTTACATCAGCAGATGTCACAAAGTGCTATACAGAAACCCAGCCTAAAACCCCAAACAGCAAGCAATGCAGTTGTAGAAGTATGAAAAAATGTATGCACTCGATAACTGTAAGTCGCTCTGGATAAGAGTGTCTGCTAAATGACTAAAATGTCAATGTAAATGTAGAAGCACGGTGGCTAGGAAAAGCTCCCTAGAAAGGCAGGAACCTAGGAAGAAACCTAGAGAGGAACCAGTCCTCTTCTGTCTGTGCCGGGTGGAGATTATAAGAGGACATGGCCACACAAAATAGATTATTTATACTGTCAATATCTACAAACAGAGAATACATCCCTCCCTACCTTGTAGACTTACCCAGTTTCGAAGGCTTGGCTTGACAATCTCCCAATGTCATTCAACTTTTTTGTGTTTTGTATCAATTGGCCACTGCACAGTTTGGATTGATTGATTGATTGATTGATTGATTGACTTTATTTGTCAGGTAAAATGTATAAACACTACCAGTCAAAAGTTTTAGAACACCTACTCATTCAAGTTTTTTTTTTTTTTTTTTACTATTTTCTACATTGTAGAATAATAGTGACGACATCAAAACTATGAAAAAACACATATGGAATCATGTATTAACCAAAAAAGTGTTAAACAAATCAAAATATATTTTATATTTGAGATTCTTCAAATAGCCACCCTTTGCCTTGATGACAGCTTTGCACACTCTTGGCATTCTCTCAACTAGCTTCATGAGGTAGTCACCTGGAATGCATTTCAATTAACAGGTGTGCATCTTAAAAGTTAATTTGAAGAATTTATTTCCTTCTTAATGCGTTTGAGCCAATCAGTTGTGTTGTGACAAGGTAGGGGTGGTATACAGAAGATAGCCCTATTTCGTAAAAGACCAAGTCCATATAATGGCAAGAACAGCTCAAATAAGCAAAGAGAAATGACAGTCCAACATTACTTTAAGACATGAAGGTCAGTCAATATGGAAAATGTCAAGAACTTTGAAAGTTTCTTCAAGTGTAGTCGCAAAAACCATCAAGCGCTATGATGAAACTGGCTCTCATGAGGACCGCCACAGGAATGGAAGATCCAGAGTTACCTCTGCTGCTGAGGATAAGTTCATTAGAGTTTCCAGCCTCAGAAATTGCAGCCCAAATAAATGCTTCACAGAGTTCAAGTAACAGACACATCTCAACATCAACTGTTCAGAGGGCACTGTGTGAATCAGGCCTTCATGGTCGAATTGCTGCAAAGAAACCACTACTAAAGGACACCAATAAGAAGAAGAGACTTGCTTGGCCCAAGAAACACATTTGAGATTTTTGGTTCCAACCGCCGTGTCTTTGTGAGACACGGTGTGGGTGAACGGATGATCTCCGCAATAGTAAAAATAAAGAAAAACTCTTGAATGAGTAGGTGTTCTAAAACTTTTGACCGGTAGCCTCCACAATCCCCCGACCTCAACCCAATTGGGATGGTTTGGGATGAGTCGGACCGCAGAGTGAAGGAAAAGTAGCCAACAAGTGCTCAGCATATGTGGGAACTCCTTCAAGACGGTTGGAAAAGCATTCCAGGTGAAGCTTGTTGAGAGAATGCCAAGAGTGTGCAAAGCTGTCATCAAGGCATAGGGTGGCTATTTGAAGAATCTCAAATATAAAATATATTTTGATTTGTTTAACACTTTTTTGGTTACTACATGATTCCATATGTGTTATTTCATAGTTTTGATGTGTTCACTATTATTCTACAATGTAAAAAATAGTAAAAATAAAGAAAGACCCTTGAATGAGTAGGTGTGTCCAAACTTTTGACTGGTAGTGTGTATATATACAGTGTGGAAAAAAAGTATTTGATCCCCTGCTGATTTTGTACGTTTGC